TTTTCATACTTCTTTTTATAAGTTCGATAGGCCCTATAGATCTACGCTTTGATTCAGTCAATAAGAAATAAACCACTTCGTAGATATAATGCTGATGAAGAAATAAAGGGGTTTTTGGCGTTCTATTTTTAAGCCTATATCTCTATCTCTATCTATTTAATAATACATTTGTTTGTAGATCTAGTTGTAAAAAGAACGCTGTGTTATTTCTATTTAGTAACCTAGATAGTACGCCACGGCGCCCACGTAAAAAAAAAAGTTAACAAGGACCAAGCCGCTCGCCTATCGTGTATGAGGGAGAGAAAACATGCCTAGTCCATTGCTTTAGCTTGAACTCCTTCACACAACTCGCCCACTGAAACATGGCGGACGCCGCTGTCAAATGTGGCCATTGCGCAGCAGGGCGAGAGAGGGGCGTACTGTATCTAGTGCCTATAGTGTACATCTATGCCCCACCCTAATCGACCGGTCTCAGCAAAATAGGATTTTCCCTACTGCTGTAAGTTGCTTTTGCTATTATGTATTTATGGGTTAATATACATTATTTTTTGGCACTTGCATTTATGTTGTACATGGTGCTATCTAACATTAATTTAATATTTTCCCCCTTAAGTATTTAAAACATTTTCACATTTTGATCACATTTTTTCCTACTCCTCCAAAGTTTAGAAATGTATTTTAATGATATCGGGCATACAGATAGCCCAAGAACATGGCTTCATTGTAAAGATGATTTCTTCAATATCTCTTGTATTTTATGTTATGTCATAAATTCGATTCATTTCAGCTAAAATGCCATTCTTTAAAAATGGCCAAATGTCACTTGCTTTAACTCAAAAATTATGTAAGATCTAACAAAAAAATGTTCCTATTGCAATGATAACAAACCTCTTGCCTACCTATATCTGTATTCTGAAATTAGAACAGATTCCATTTGTAAAGTTCGGAGTAGTACCATTTTGTTTAAATGACATAGTATTTAAGATGGAGATTATTATAATGAAAATCAGAATGGACAAAAAAATGCAAAATGATTTTTGCTCCAATAATATCTGTCATACTAAGTTTCGAGTCCCTTGGCCCAATAATAAAGATTTTAACCCACAGGTGGGATCACTTCCCTTCACAGCAGCAAGCTGAGAACAACGTGTCAAGAACAAACATTACTCATAAAGCATAAGCCTTGAACCTGAAAGATAACAAAGGTCCCTCTGGAGCACTATGCCAAATTGTATTAAAAAAACCCTTTTTTGTGTGTTTTTCTTTTACATATTCAGGTTCCTTCGCTGCCAAGAAAGCGATAGACTATCAACATCCCACACAATAAAGTAAATGTTAATAATAAACATGAGAACAGAAAATAACACATTTAAAGTCATGTGCTATATTTTGGTCATGATCAGTTTATCTGTCATAACAAATTCGATCACAGCATCCTCCAACGTGTCACGTCCACCAACCAACTCACCAAATTCATCTATCAGTTCATTACGTTCGTCTAAAATACTAACATCCCCGACCTCTAACATACCAACATCCCCGACCTCTAACATACCAACATCACCGACCTCTAACATACCAACATCACCGACCTCTAACATACCAACATCACCGACCTCTAACCTACCAACATCACTGACCTCTAACATACCAACATCACCAACCTCTAACCTACCAATATCACCGACCTCTAACATACCAACATCACCGACCTCTAACCTACCAACATCACTGACCTCTAACATACCAACATCACCAACCTCTAACCTACCAATATCACCGACCTCTAACATACCAACATCACCGACCTCTAACCTACCAACATCACCGACCTCTAACATACCAACATCTCCGATTTCTAACCTACCAACATCCCCGACCTCTAACATACCAACATCACCGACCTCTAACATACCAACATCCCCGACCTCTAACCTACCAACATCCCCAACCTCTAACACACCAACATCATCGACCTCTAACATACCAACATCACCGACCTCTAACATACCAACATCCCCGACCTCTAACATACCAACATCCCCTACCTCCAACATACCAACATCCCCGACCTCTAACATACCAACACCCCCGACCTCTAACATACCAACATCCCCGACCTCTAACATACCAACATCACCGACACTTAACATGACATCACACATGTCAAAATCACCGACACCTAACACAACAGCATCACCGACACTTGATACGTCAACGCCTAACGCTCCAGCATCTCGCAGCCACCGACCTTTGACGCACAGCACTGTTTTACCCACGGTTCCCCCAAGTTATGCTGTACGAAAAGGTAGGTGACATGAATCTGTATTTACAAAAATGATATACTTTTGAGTTAGCTCTTTAAATAATCTTGCAACGAACGTCTAGATGTTTCGGAGCTTGGACCTGTAATTCTTGTCAAGTAAGCCACAAAGCCATCGTTTTCGAAGTACCAATATAATCAGAGTAATCGTAAATCCTCTCTGATATAATTTAATAAAGAAAGTGGTACCTCCTACAACGAATATCGGTTCGATCGGACACCATAAGTGAGATGCCTCACAATGAGTTAGATACACACAGATAGTCTAGCACAACAATCGTACACTAGAAACAGCTACCGACCATGTTGGATGTTTTTGACACTACTGAATCATAACTTTAATTGCTCATCCTGAAGAGTACCAAATTAATACATTCAAATAAGGAGATATAACTACGGCAATTAACAATAGTGAACCAAACACAGTTATTGCTCATTTAACTAATATTACAGGGATATTACATTGTTCCCTTTTTAAGCGTTTCATATTGACTGAACCAAAGGACCAAAAATAAAGGTAACTGAAAATGAAATCAAATTGTAAACAGTGGTCGCAATTGGACACAAATCATTCACATACTAAAATTGCTTACAGAAACAGAGTAACATTAGTAACAATGATAGGACAATAATCATTTGCAACAAACACGGAGTGTCTACTGCAACACAAGTACAGACATCATGGGATGAGATATACATTAAGGCAACTATAAGACAAGCCTGTCTGGCGCCTTGCGTAGTCTGTTAGACCTTCTCAGTGCAGGAGGGGCATAAGGGGTTTCAGTAATAACAGGGTCGAGAGACACACTGTTGTTGCTACTGTTAGGAGTAGCCTTGACTACTTGTTCTGGTGCAACCAGAGCGGATGGGGGCACTGATACAAGGCTTTGCTCAGATACAGGACATGAAACATTTTCATTTTTGCTTGCACTCTCAGTGTTTCTTTCATCCATCTTTAACTCACCTCTTTCATTCAGTACACTTTCTTCCCTCTCCAACTCGCACCGTTCTTTCAGTACACTTTCTTCCCCTTTTTCTACAGAAGACTGATCAGAAAGAGACCTTTCAAAATCACAACATGTGACTCGAATTTGATCTTGGTGTCTTCTTATCAGTCCTTAAGAAGGAGTTTGAATCTCAAAAGACAGAGGACAAGTCTGTTTTACAACTTTACCTGAGACCCATTTGGATTTGTTGCCACTCCTGCTGAAATTTCTAACAAAAACATTATCATCTATCTCAATGCATCTGCTCCTAGCAGTTTTATCATGATTTTCTTTTTGTCTTGCCTGCTGTGTTTGCACGTGGCCATGAACTACAGGGTGTAGGAAATCCAGATGTGTCTATGTTTTCCTAGTGAATATCAACTCAGATGGACAAAGACCTGTAGTTGAGTGAGGAGTTGATCTATATTTAGTCAAAAATCTGCACACTTTCTCTTTCACGCAACCTTTGTCAATCTTACCCATAGCAGTTTTAAACGCTTGTACTGCTCGTTCTGCCAATCCATTCGATGAAGGATGATATGGTGACACTCTGTGTTGTACGCCATTAGCCTTTATGAATTTTTGAAATTCTGAGCTGGTCCATGTTGGGCCATTGTCAGTTACGATATAATTTGGTAGGCCCATGACGGAGAACACATCACGCAGTTCAAGTATTGTTTGATTGGCTTTAATGTCTGACATGATTCTCACATCTAGCCACTTAGACTGGGCATCTACAATGACCAGAAACATTTTCCCCATAAATGGACCTGCAAAGTCCATGTGTAAGCGATCCCAAGGATCTGTTGGCCATTCCCAATTGTGTAAGGGATCTTTAGCTGGCTTTTTGGCATGTAATTGACATAGGTAGCACACTTTGACAGATTTTTCTATGTCAGTGTCTAATTTTGGCCACCAAACCCAGGATCTTGCCAATGCCTTCATCTTCGCCATTTCAACATCGGAATCATGAAGCAACTCTAGAACATCACTTTGCAGTGATTGAGAAATTATGACTCTTGACCCCATAACACGCAACCTCTTTCAGTGCTAATCTCACTCTTTCTCGCTTTGAAAGGTCTAAGAGGACTGTCGCAGTCAAGTGTCAAGTGTCTTGTCAGATCAACCATTCATACAGTAATAAAAAACTTGTCTTAGTACAGGGTCAGTTTTTGTCTCTGTTGCAAGTTTGTCAACGTCAAGGGGTGTTTTGTCAATCAAATCAAACAAAAAGTCTATTTCTTCAGGCACATAAGGAACAGCTGTTTGTTCTTGCAGTGGGAGTCTACTGAAGGCATCAGCGTTGTTCTGTGGACCTGGGCGATACTCCAAGTGGTAGTTGTGCGCTGATAATGTTATGGCCCACCGTTGCACACACAATTGAACGCTTGAGTCTGTGCGCGCCCCCATTGCCATCGGGCATTCTTTGTGGGGAGAAAGTGTACTGAATGAAAGATGAAAGATGTGAGTTAAAGCATAAAGTGGGGCAAGGCGTTGAGACAAGTTGTCGATGAAGCTTGAGTAGTAGTTGATGAGACCCAAGAACGATTTCAACTGCTGTATGTTCTGCGGTGCTGGAGCATCCTTGATGGCTCTGATCTTTTCCTCTTGTAGTTGCAGTCCATGCTTGTTAAGACGAAAACCAAGGAAGTCGACTTCATTCTGAAGGAACTTACATTTGTCTTTGTTCACGACAAGGCCTTTTTCCTTACACACTGATAGTACCTTGCTCAGTGTCTCAAGGTGATCTGTGTCGTTGGCCCCGGTCACATACAGATCATCAAAATAAACGCACGTGTTCGGAATGTTCTGGAATAAACTATCCACCACTCTTTGGAAAATACTGGGGCTTGAAGATATTCCAAAACACAGTCTCCGGTATTCATATAGACCTTTGTGAGAGTTGATCGTTGTGAGTTTTCTTGACTCTGGATCTAACTGGAGTTGGGTGTAAGCGTGAGAAAAGTCAATTCTTGAAAACTTCTCTCCACCAGACAGTTTTGCTGCAAGGTCTTCAATACGTGGTATTGGATATTTTTCTTCATGGATGATTCTGTTCACCGTCACCTTGTAGTCTCCGCATATGTGCACTGTATTGTCGCGTTTCAGTACTGGCACCATGGGTGTTGCCCAATCAGAGAACGAGACTTTATGAATAATACCAGCCGATTCCAGTCGTGAAAGTTCCTCTTCAATGCCATCTCCCACAGAGAAGGGGGGCTGTCGAGTTTTACAATACTTCGGGACAGCGTTTTCTTTAAGATGTAGTTTCACCACACGATCGTTGAGTAAGCCGTTTTCACTAAACACACTTTGATTTTCCTGTAACACATGTTTCAGGTCTTTTGGTACCTTGAGGGTGAAGATAGAGTTCCAATCCAACTTAATGTACGATAGCCAGTCTCTGCCAAGTAACGGAGGACCCTCTCCCCTGACGATGGTAAGAGGTAACGCTTTCTGCTGACCATTGTAGAGCACCTCCACATTGGTTTCGCCCACAATCTCAACCGCTTGACCTGTGTAAGTGTTGAGGGCTTTGTTCGACTTGTGAAGGGCAGGAAGCTTGAAACGATGAAAATCATTAAAAGTCATCACGGACAGAGACGCACCGGTGGCGACCTGAAATTTGACTGGGTTATTGTTGACAATGAGGTCCACATCAATGGGCCTGGTTCTAGACATTGAGTCAGTCATGGTAAAAAGATGGAAATTGTCATTACCAGCATTACCATGTTCATCTAACATGTGTGACTTGTGTTTCTGTGGTTTGCTCTGCCACTTTGATTTGTTTGTTGACGGCGCTGCTGGCTCAAATTTTGTTGACTTTGGCTTGGATCTACACATTTTTTATATGTGACCTAATTTTGAACAGTTGAAACACTTTTCATTTTTAAACTTGCAAGCATGTAAGGCATGAGGACCACCACAACGGCTACACGGGTTGTGAGATGGTTTGCGTTGAGATTTTAAAACGTTTAGAGTAGTGCCATTTCTCTGCCTGTTTGGACCCTGAAGCTCTCTAGCTGCCTCTGCTGTTGCCATTGTAGCCACTGCTACCCGAACAGCCTCACGGAGTGTCAAGTCTGATTTAGCGAGCAATTTATGTTGAACGCTTTCATCGTTGATTGCACGTACAAATTTATCGCACAGACGCTCCACTAGTTGAGCTCCAAACTCACAGTGGTCGGCTAAGTTTCTTAATTCTGCAATAAAAGTTTGAACGGTCCCACCTGTTTGCCGTGTTCTAGCTTCAAAAGAAGCTCGTCGGAGGAATTTAGGAGGTGGAGGCTCATGGTGATTGCGTAATAATTCACACAGTTCCTGAAATGATTTGTCCGTGACGGTGTGGGGCATGCACAAGTCCTTAAGAAATCTAAACTGCTGTGCACCAATAACAGTCAAAAATATAGCTCGTTGCTTTGAATCATCAACAGAATTAGCCTCAAAGTAAAACTTTAACCTTTCCTCATGGTCTGAAAACTTTTCTTTCGTAGGCACGAATTCTTCAATTCTGCCAGTGACATGGCGGCTGTACGTATTGTTTCTTTACTGTGCTCAAAACAGAACTAACCTGACTTGACAGCTCACAGCTCAATGCAGTGAAAAAATAACTACACAATGTTAATCTTTAACCACTTCACACTTTAATCCACGTCGCCAAATATGTGATGCTTCACAATAAGTTAGATACACACGGATAGTCTAGCACAACAATCGTACACTGGAAACAGTAACCGACCATGTTGGATATTTTTGACACTACTGAATCATAACTTTAATTGCTCATCCTGAAGAGTACCAAATTAATACATTTAAATAAGGAGACATAACTACGGCAATTAACAATAGTGAACCAAACACAGTTATTGCTCATTTAACTAATATTACAGGGATATTACAATAAGCATGATGTCACTGCCGGAGACACTCCCAGCTCGATCTAGTTTTTTGAGGGGGTTTCTTTTTCAAACTTTTAGCAGAGACCTAGCAATGTAAACG